TAGCTCAATTCTCTTTTATGCAGCTATCTTGTAATGTGATTTGAGCTTATATGCAGCTATCTTGTAATGATTATTCAGCTACTTTGGTTGCATCTGTTTCTTGTGATTTGAGCTTATATGATTTGCAGCTCAATCCTGGTGTTTCAGCATGGTTTTAGAAGCATTTTTTATAGCAGTATGGTCAACAAATCCATCATATTTGAGAGCAAATATGTCCTGGTGCATAAATATTCTTTTAACAGGATTTAGTTATAAACTAATTTGTTCAGATAATTATACAAATAAGAAATAGTTTGCAGTTTAAAAGAATTTGCAGTTCAAATTTGTGGCTAACAAATACCAAATCATTTGCGGTTTAACAGAATTTGCAGTAAAAATTGTGGCTGGTCACAATCTAAAGTTGGCATACACTTCAGAATGAGAGTATGATACTTAAGCTAACTACTTGTATCTCTAGCAAACAGCACGCTAAGACAGGCATAGAGAAACTGGCCAGCATAGAGTCCAACTAATGGTGTTTTAAATTACTTAAGGTCAAGTGTGAATCTCTAGTTGAGAGGATACAATTATAGTTCATATGTCGCCTATTAACAGGCATGCATTAGCATTTAACAACCACCACCAAAGTATGTGGTATTACAGTCAAAGCTACGACAACTGAAGACCCTCAGGAATACATTCATATAACACTACTGTACTGCATACATAAGATCATCTTGGCATTTTTACATTAAACATACACTTCGGTTTTTAAACATACACTTCGGTTTTTAATCCTGGTTCCTTACTCAGGTGTTCTGTGTTCTAACTACAAATATTGATAGTAAACAACTGACCAAATACATGGTTTCGTTGAACATCGGACATTTGACAGTCTCCCCATGAAAAAGATACATGGTTTCAGCCCCACTATTCAATCTTACTTCCACATCAACCAAAATTTCAACTTTAAACTGCATCAAGTAGGACAAAATCAAACATCAATTTCGCCAGCAAACAACAAAAACCATCAAAATGGTCTCACCTGAACGAGTCCAGACTTTGCGAGTATAAAACAAATTACTATTCTAATTTGTCTGAAGATACAAATCCAGAACACCAGAAGTTCTCATCAACATACACTTCCACAAAGAAGGATAATACATTCTTACACTCTACTTAGCACAAATCCAATAAAAATACCAAATACAAATCCAAGAAAAATACCAAATAAAAGAGCAAATACAACAAGCTTCAACAAATCCATAATATCAATGTCAATCTTTCTCTTTTCCCGCAATTCTCCACTTGACACGCCTCTTGAAACTTGCGGCCTCACGCTCGACAGCTTTGTCTGAACAAGCCCTGTCTTTGAACCTTAAAAATACCAAATAAAAGAGCAAATACAACAAGCTTCAACAAATCCATAATATCAATGTCAATCTTTCTCTTTTCCCGCAATTCTCCACTTGACACGCCTCTTGAAACTTGCGGCCTCACGCTCGACAGCTTTGTCTGAACAAGCCCTGTCTTTGAACCTTCAAACTCCTCTTCATCAGATACCCATTTGAAGAATCCATAATTACTCACTTTCCAATTAGCGCATCCCAAAAACAATCGACCATGGTTCGTCTTAGTTCCAGATCTAGAGAGTATAGCCCTCCTTCCACAATGGCACAACAGTCCATGACGATTGCTTGAAGATGACTCCATGATTCACGGCTACAGACACAAAAGTTTGCATATTCATCGCAATTGAAAAATAATAATTGGCAAAAAAAATTAAACTACAAGGGTCTGTCCCTTTTTCTTGCTTGGAATTCTAACCGTGATCAATGACTAACGAAGCGAACATTTCACTTTTCTCACAGCAAGTCACAGCATACCCAGTAGAACAAAGTCAAAACTTGGCCCCTTTCAAAAGTTACCAACTTTAACTATCATATAACGTAAATTTTGATCAGCCAGAATCATTATTCTCGGTCCTCTTGCTCTCTCTTCACCACTGAATCTTCTCTTTGATAATAGCACGTCTCTCTCCTCTCAATTCAAAAATTTTCACTCTTCTTAGCAATATTTCGTAGTGGAAACTATTACAAGGACTCTGATATTAATAAAAAAATAATAATTTTGTATTTGAAGAATGTGACATGATAATGAACATTTTCGGAAACATATATCAAAGATAAACTTTGCCAGAAACTAATATCTGAGAATGACATTATAGGAACAAAAAAACAACTGACATAGTCCTCGTAATACTTCAGTAACCACCAATGAATTTATGAACCTAGTTATCTAACCACTAACTCAATCCAAAACCACTACATAATCCATCAAATAATTAAAATAAGCAGATCAATGTAAAGAATATTGGTCGATAAGAGAAAGACCAGGTTTCATAAGAGAAAGACCTTGTTATCAAACAACTAACTCAATCCAACTAACAGGAATTATTATTGGGTTTTTATTGGGATGGGACTTCACCTGAGAGAGGATAGCTCAGAGGGAGGAGGACGGAGGAGGATGAGCGGATCTGGCTCACGAACTCTGGCTCAGGACGACGAGATCAGCACCAGATCAACGACGAGATCAGCTCGATGGCGAGATCAGCACCAGTTCGACGACGAGATCAGCAGCACGACGACGAGATCAGCAGCACGACGACGAGAGTGATGACGACGAGACCAAGGGAGGATGAGGACGAGTCCGAGGGAGGATGACGACGAGAGTGATGATGGCGAGATCAGCAGCACGACGTTCGAGAAAGCGGCGGCTCAGAGGGCTGATCTCGTCGGAGGAGGATGCAATATATTTCCTTTTTTTATTTTTATTATTTTTTTACAAAAAATGTGGTTCATAGAGAATCAACACCTCCTCTCCGTGTAGAAAATTCTAAAAATGATTTTAGACGTTGACCATTAATTTTAAAAATGTCACTATTTTTAGGATTTTTTATCTCGACAGCCCCATGTGAGAAAACTTGTTTTACAATAAATGGACCTGTCCATCTTGATCTCAATTTCCCAGAAAAAAGATGTAATTTTGAATTGTACAATAAAACTTTTATCCCGGAGAGAAATTTTTTCGTAAAATTGATTTGTCATGAAAAATCTTGATTTTTTCTTTGTAAATTTTTGAGTTTATGTATGCATCATTTTGAATTTCTTCCAACTCATTTATTTGGAGCAATCTGTTCTTACATGCCAAATTCTGAGTCCAAATTCAACTGTTTTATCGCACATATTGCTCGATGCTCCAACTCTACTGGTAGGTGACAAGCTTTTTCAAACACCAGTTTGTATGGTGACATCCCCAAATTGGTTTTAAAAGCTGTTCTATATGCCCACAGAGCATCACATAATTTTACAGACCAATCTTTTCTGTTATGATTAACTATTTTTTCTAAGATTTGTTTGATCTGCCTGTTTGTGACCTCTACTTGACCACTGGTTTGGGGGTGATAAAAAGTCAACAATTTGTGTGTGATTGAATATTTTCTCATCAAAGCTTCAAAAGAACGGTTACAAAAATATGTACCGTTGTCGACAATTTGTGTGTGATTGAATATTTTCGATAAAGACGATAAAGACGGAGGCGTGATTGATTATTTTCGACGAAGACGATGAAGATGGAGGCAGAGACGAAGAAAACGAAGACGAAGTCGCCGAAGACAATTCAAAGGGTTTCGAAAGGGTTGTCGACGGCGGCGGCCTTGAGAGAAAGAGGGTTCGAAACGGAGAAAGTTGGTTGCGGACGATGAGGGTTTCGATAATAGCGCTCAGAAGGGGATTGTGGGAATAGTACAGTTTTAAATTGAGAAGGATAATTTGGGAATGCAGTTATATGGGTATTGGGTCTGTACACTTTTGGGAGTTAGTTACTTTTATTTTTTTGTATAAGGGCTTTGGGTTATGGTTCTTGGGCTGGGTGCAGAGTGAGGATGCATGGCCCAATTATATTTAGTTCCTCCAAGCAATTTTCCCTAAAATGATAGTTCTGCTCTGCCCTGCTTGATTAATTTGACATATTATTCAAACTTATGAATTTTAGAAGCAGTAGTGCTGCCACGCGAGTAAGTAACTTATGGGTAAATTTATCCCCAATGTGGCATGATTTTTAGTTTTATACAGGGTTCTCATGTTTTGAGCATGATGTTGTCACAGCGACCAATCTAAAATTATTATATCTCAACAAGTAAATCAACCTAAAGCGTTGCGAATGAGAACCCAGTCACATAAATTCACATGAAAAACATCAGGAAACTACATAAAACATAAACATATGAACTGACTGCGCGCGGCAAAAATGTACCATTGAAAATTCCAAAGAATAATCACGTGAACTACTCCTACCATAGTTGAGTTCCAAAATTGGCAATCTAATGCAGTAATCTAATATTCTAATTAAATAAAAATTTATAAAGGAGTTAGAAATGATGGAGGATTTTAAATACCGGACTCATATTCTCAGAGAGCGAGAATAAGTGTCAATATTGCTCCTGCCAATAAAACGTTCTAATGAAACAATAAAACTAATTTCTAAAAGGAAATATATCTAAATTAACCTAATAATTAAGGGTTTCTTCAGCAACAACAATTTCTCAGTTAAAACCTCTCACCTGATAATTTCCAATACCTCCCAACCCAGCGTAAGCATCTGTTGCTACTGCCTCCGTCCTCTTCATCGTCGTCGTCCTTCATATCATCACCGGTGAGCTCGTCAAGGGTCAGGGTTGGGTTCTTATTTCCCCCAATCTGATGAGTAATCTGGAGGAAGGAGAAGAGAGGATTGATTTTTGGATAGTGGGGAGCTAATAAATTTAGACTGCGCGTGAAAGGCCCTCTTTATACCCAAATAAATTAATTAATTAATTAAAATAAAATTAAAATAAAAAAAGTGCACATGAGAGAGTAGCATTATTGTGCCTCGTTTAACGCCCATGTGATGTGAGGTTCATTAGTTTATTGGGTCTTGTTAGATATTTGTCCCCTAAATCTTGTAAAGAAGTTTGAGATTAGCCCTTCTGATCGTTGAAACTTCTACAAGGACCCCCAGTTTTCATAGTTTACTTTGAAACTAGTTGTGAACATCATGCAAAGCACGACATATCATTTTTCTTTCTGCTATAGTAATCTCGATTTTTAATGCTATAGTAATGTTTTTAAACTTTTTGTTGCTACAGATCCCGGCGCTGCTACAAATTTCTAAGATGTTACAGTATCCGCGTGTGCTACAACGATTTTTTTAAAATTGCTATTTCATGTTGCTACAGTAGTATTACTGTAGTATTTACTGTAACATGAATAGTAAATTTTGGGTTCTCCCATTTATATAGAGGAGTAGATTAGTTCATCCATTAAGACTATAGGTAGCAAGTAGAGCTAGGGGCTGTTTGGTGGAAAATTTGTAATAAGAAAAATAATGAAAGAATCGTATTTGATTTATTCTCTCTAACTGCTTAGAAAAAGAATGATTACAACCCTCTCAATCTCAATTATAATTGGATTTCCTGATTATAAAAGAGAGGAGAATGATCTGGATTCTCCACTTTGTTTAATTCTGGGTTCTTCACGGTGGCGATGGAGTGTCTCCCTCGAATGCTCGCGTCGAGTTTGCTCTCCGTTGACGATCCGCACGTGTTGATTCACTGGAACGGTATCTCTTCCTCACGATTTGACGTTGTGAAGAACTTACAAGGCAAGTTTGAAACTCTTAATGAGTTGATAACTCTGAACGAGTTTGAAACTCTATGGAAGAGTTGATTTAACCGAAAATCAGTTATAAGCCAAGGATGAAGAAGCTCTTATTGCCGATCTCCAAAGCTCCAGCTGAAGGATGAATGATCTTCTTTGCTGCCAAGCCCTCAGGATCGATTATTGCCGATCTCCAAAGCTCCAGCTGAAGGATGAATGATCTTCTTTGCTGCCAAGCCCTCAGGATCGAAAGATCAAAGAGGAGGTGCCCTTTGCTGCAGGATGAATGATCTTCTTTGCTGCCAAGCCCTCAGGATCGAAAGATCAAAGAGGAGGTGCCCTTTGCTGCTCTTCAGATCCGGAAATGTTCAAGGATCCCAAGATAATCCGCCAGCCCTTCAGACCTTCAACTCAGTTGAGTTTTTTTCGTTTTTATATGGGATTAAGGGGGTGTAACCGCCCCTTAAATCACTCCTAAGTGGGGTGTAACCGTCCCCAAATCGTGGAAAACGATTTTGAAACCGTTCATCTCATGTTGAATGAGTCAAACAACACCCAAGTTGGCGTTCAGGACCCTAACTCCGCGTTTTAGAGTGGAGACGCGGAGTTGGGTACCCGCTGGATGTTGAAAAACGCGAGGGTCGCCCGTGTTTTGTTTGCTGAGGGTTGGAAATGCGGGGGTCATCTGGGTTTCAAGAACTGAAACGCGAAGGTGAATTCCGCGTTTTAGAAGGAGCTAATGACTTATAGCTTCTTCTGTAGAGCGTTGTAAAGACCATTGTTGAGTGATCTTCGCCTTGGCTGCTCGAAAATATGAGAGTTGTCAGATTGTAACTCCCGATGTTAATTATGAAAACTGTTGATTAGAGATTTCATCGGTTGTTGTGAAGATCGTCAGATTGTAACCTTCATCGATCTACGTGAAAGTCATCAAATTGTAATATTCTAGAACTCGTCAGATTGTAACTTCCATCATCGGTGTTTGATGGGAATAAGCTATCTGTAGTAATTTTTAGACAGCCTGCAGGGGCTAGTTTGGAATGACTTATGAGAATTGAGTTACATAATGGCAGTTTTATGAATTAAGGGACTAGATCTAAAATAGATACAAGACTTAATTTCCTAATAGTCATTTCAATGGTTTAAATAATTTATTTAGGAATATCGATTTGAGGAACTAATATTAAATAGTTTGGAATGACTTACGAGAACTGAGTTACATAATGGCAGTTTCATGAATTAAGGGACTAGATCTAAAATAGCTACAGGACTTAATTTTCTAATTAGAACCATTTCAATGATTTAAATGATTTATTTAGGAATACCAAAGATATGATGGACTAATATGTAACAAGTACTAGGAATACCAAAGATATGATGGACTAATATGTAACAAGTACTATTGAGGAGTACAGGTAACTATTGCATGCTCATGTGAAGAATCTGGTCAGAGGCTTTGAATGAATCCAGAGGACGAGTGAGTTTTCGTATCAAACTTTATAGGGAGGGGAGTTGTCACAGTCAGGGTAAATGCGGCAGTAAACACTTGAGGAGGGGCATTAAAGAGACTTCTGGAAAATGTTTCTTTTATTTTTCTGTATTTTAATTGATGAAATTTTCTCACAAAATATTAGGCTTAAAGATGGTTCAAATGTAGAACCTTTGAGTACAGAGCAAACCTATCTAACCATCACGGTGGACCCTGGATGATTATTTAATAAGTTCACTTGATTTAGAGTGAGAGCAAACCTATCTAACCATCACGGTGGACCCTGGATGATTATTTAATAAGTTCACTTGATTTAGAGTATGGTTAATTGCATAGATAAATATGGTGGACCCTGGATGATTATTTAATAAGTTCACTTGATTTAGAGTATGGTTAATTGCATAGATAAATATCAGTCTCATTCTTTCACTATTGAGAGACTTCAATTTTTAAGAAGCTACTCTACAAATGCTTCGTTTCAAATTTGATCTTTATTGCATTCAATTTCTTAGGAGTTACTCCGCAAAGCTTGTTCGGTACAGTGTATGTTTTGAAAGTTGTTTGTCTTAAAATTAAATCAAATTTCTTCATCAAAAGGCCCCATCAGCTAATTAAATGGTTTCCTCCGGTATTGCTCCTCCTTAAAAAAAGAACAGCGCATGCATTATCTACCGCAATACATTTCCTTAAGATACAAATTGCAAGATGATTACATCAATGTATAAACTATCATGGACTACTACAATGTATTTCTGTGAGATACAAATTAGTGGGGTGTTGTTACTTTAAGAGGAGAAGAGATTGGAATTTGTTTTGAGGGGGCTCTGGTAATGGGTTTTGAGGTTGTTTTTTCTGTGTTGTGTCTTCTCAAAGAGAATATTGCACTATAATGTGTTTTTTCTGTGTTGTTTTTTCTATTTTGAGGTTATTGTAGAACCTTATTTCCAATCCTTTCTTCATTAAGCTGGGAACAGAGATCAAGTTACGATGCATTCCTGACGCATAAAATACATCTTTGAAGAAAAAAATATTATCCTCAGGATCTAATCTATACGAACCAATATCTCCTACATTGATATAGGTATTGTTTCACATATAGATACTTGTTCTCCTTTCTTCGGATCGGTAAATTCTGTGATTCCATTCTTATCCTTTGCGATATTTGTGGTCGCACTGGAGTCGATTCACCAACCACTAATATCTGTTATCATAGCATTGCATTCCGTCACACCGACGAATTCTCTTTTGCTAATACCTCTTTGTTCCAGATGCTTATAGCCTCCCTTATTCTCCTTTTTTTCACCTTGTGGGCAAGTGAACTTGAAATACCTAAACTTTCCATTATTGTAGCAGGCTCCGTGAGGTACTTTCTTTCTCTTGAACTGCTCTGATTTCGTTCCTCGTGGTTGTGGTTTTACTGGGACCTGGGGTTTTTTCACTTCCAGCATTATGCCTCTGGGGGACATAATTCATCTCCTGCTGCACCATGTTCAGTTCTGGCTCTTTCCTACTGGCTATTAAAACTTGTTCTATCGCTAGGTGCATAGGAAGATCAGTGACAGATTTTAATGGCAGGGTTCATTCTTAATGTGGTGGCAGCTATAACTAAGGAAGGAAGTGGGTTATTCAATATAGTTGCCACTTACATTCTCCCCGGGATTTCGGTCCCAGCAGTGTATAAGTTGTTAGCCATGATAATTATCTTATTGGTATGCTCTATGATATTGTCTCCATCTTGCAAATAACAAGAATTATATTTTATGCAAGAGGAGTTGAATGTTTACTTCAGAGGCGGTGTCTTGTTTTTCTTTTATAGCATTCCACATGTCCATGGAAATCTCATAAGTTGTAATAACTTTGATTAAGTTAGCTTCCATGAACATGAGCATTAGGCTTTTTGTATTTTTATCTTTAGACTTTCACTATTCATCCCTTTCTTTTCTTCAGAGGTAGATTTATCCGTAAGGGTTGGAGCAATGATTTCGATTATATCATCAATATTATCATGAAGAAGAGCATATCCTATATTTCTATGTTACATATCATAATTACTGCAATTAAATTTGTTAAATTTTTTTAGTTCTGATAGAACAAGTTTACTAGCCATTTGGTGGAGAACTAAAACTAATTTACACACACACACTATGTGAATAAAAAGAGAAATAAATTAAAATAAACCTGATTCTTGTGAGTTGAAAAAAGAAACTCCAATTAGAGGGAGATCGTCACTTAGTGGTCTTGACTGAAGAATCACTTGTCGACGTTTTGGTGTCGTCTCTGATCACAACGAGGTTGAAGTTGATAATTAATGGGTTTTCTGTACGGATGTGTGGAGTAGCAGTAAATCAGGTTGAGATCAGTAATTGAAAGTGCAATTGCCTGAACCTTGTTACCGAACCGGGATATTGAAGTAACAAATTGGGTCTTATTTGAAAAGGCTTTTATGAAGAGAGACTCTAAAAAAAATGAATAATAAAAAATGACTATAGAGTAAGTCACACGCAACGGTCCAAAAAATAAAAACTTGGTTTGAGGAGTAGATCACGTGGGCTGGTTAACTAGGTTGTAGGCTTTGACTTCAAAACTTGAGGGAAAAAAGGCTATGACAAACTTCCACCAAACTTGGTTTTTGAATAAAAATAATTATTGTACAAGAGAAAAGCAGAGATGCACTTCGAAGTGGGCAAAAAATTAGAAAAGAAAGAAAGAGAGACGCAGCTCGAGGAACAGTCTTGGGCAAAGTTTTGATGGGATTGGACTCTATTTTTTTTGGAGAGGATAGGAGAGGAACATATTTCTATAGCTGAGCTCTGATACCAATGTTACTTGGGTGGTATTAGGGGCACACCCCCAACCACACATCCAACCACACCTCATCTCATTTACTACAGTGCACCAGGTCTCACATGTGATTTTAAAATTTTAAAATCACATGTGGGACCAGATGTACTGTAGCAAATGAGGGGGTGTGGTTGGAGGTGTGGTTAATGTGCCCCTACCATTTTCCATGTTACTTTATGAACATAGGAGAAGAAATTGGAATTTGTTTTGACGGGGCTTCCATAAAAGCTCGTTTGTTTGCAAAAATTGGAGGGAGAAAGCGGTGGAAAGCATGCAAAAGTTATGATGTTTTCAAAATTTTTGCTGGCTTTGTCCCTCTAAATTTTGCATCCAAATGGGTCCTTAGAGGTTGTTTTTTCTGTATCGTGTTTTCTCAAAGAGAACACTATACTATATATATAGAGGCTACACCATTATCTCCACCCCTCGAAAACTGCTTCGGAGAGAGATTCTCTCAACAACCTCTTGTCCAATATTCTCTCAACAAAGTATCATTTTGTTGAGAAATTTAATGTTTGAATTGGTCACCAATTGAATGGGTAAAAATTACAGGGGTGACCCCACAAAGCCATTAAGAAATTACCTTTTTTTTTAATATCGTAGTATGTTTGTTAGATTAATATGAAAATATAAACTTTAATTTTTTTTGCAGAGATATGTCCTGACAACTAGCAGAATATAGTAAAGGCCACATTCTACAACGTAGGGTATTAAAGTGGGACAAATTTTCAAAACCGACCCTTTTGAGTTTTTTTTTGCAAAAAACGACCGGTTTTCAAAATATTTGTAAAAACCGACGTGTTTTCAGCCCAGGCGCTGAAAACGGGTCGGTTTCTGTAAATAATTTTCCGAAACTTCACGGGAGTTGAACTCCCGTGAAGATTTACAGACTTTTAAACTTCACGGAAGTTCAACTCCCGTGAAGTTTAATTTCCTAAAAAACTTCATGGGAGTTGAACTCCCGTGAAGTTTGATTAACTGGGAAAAAAGGTAGCATCATCGTTAGGTGAAGTTG